GATCCTCCTGCCTCAGCCTCCCGAAGTCTCCATTCTTAAAACTAACATTCACAAAAGCATGAGATAATGCAAAAACCCTMTCTCATTCCCAGTAACTCCTAGCTATCTATGGCTCTGTTATTCTCTGAATTATATACACTGTTTATGAGAAGAATTTTCAGAGTTCAGTGTGGAAATGTCTTCTCCAGTAACATCAGAATCAGAACATGCCAGGGACAGAAGTGGGTCTACATTTTTGAATGCCCTACACCAGCCACTGCCCCTTTTACAGTGTTAAGTGAGGAAAAACTGAGAAAATTGTCACCTGTGATCAATTTCCTCTCTAAGGAATTCTAGTGTATATGACAACAAAAATAATCTCTAGCATTCTCAACACAGCCCTCTGACCCATTATTATCATCATCCTTATTTACAAAAAAATGAAAGAGACAGAGGTTAAACAGCTTGCCCAAGGTCACACAGCTAGTAAGGAACAGTGGYGGGATATCAATCCAGGAGTCTAACTCCAAAGTTCATCCCTTTGACCATGGGAATACTGACAGTCCAGATTTCCTGAGAAACCGTTTTGGTACCTCACCTAAAGAAAGAGCCACATGTTAAACATCAAAATAARTGCTACATCAGTGCTACAACAAAATTCCTAACAGTGAGACAAGTGAATTAATCTACACTATTGAGGTTATCTGCATTATTGAGACTCCTAYTGAATGTAAAGTAGTTTGTCCCTAATCCTTTTTATTTTTTATTTGAGACAGGTTCTGGCTAAGTTGCTTAGGACCTTACTAAATTACTRAGGCTGGCCTCAAACTTGTGATCCTCCTGCCTTAGCCTCCTGAGTCACTGGGATTACAGGCATGTGCTACTTACTACTTGACCCTTAAAGAAAAATCACATAATAAGTAGCATTATTTAAGCAGACAGCTGTATCCATCACCTGATCCTTAAATCTAACATTCTAATGATGTTTATTAACAGTGAATGTGTACCATTATAAAATGGTCATCATAGTCATSCTAACACCGCTGACTACAAAAGAAAGGATTACCAGGGTACTAGGTACATAATAAGACTGAAACTGGGGCAAAACAGGCTCTTACAGGTCTTGTGAATAATTAGTAGAGAGGTCATTCATCTGAAGTCGACTTGCAAAGCTGTACCACTTACCTCTCTTTTAAACTTTAGCTTGCCAATTTTCTTCTTCCAAAAGGAAATTACTAATCACCAAAACTCTCTCAGTAATTAAAAGTAAGTCTTGTAAAAAGAGAAAGACAAATCATAATTCTTCAAAATTGATTATGTTGAAATCTGAAAAGTTATTGCCCTACAGAACTTTTGAGATCAACACACAYTCTAGGAACAGCCAAATAACTGTATAAAATGAAATGGCCTAACTCCGCCAGAGGCCAACATGGGGGAGGAAGGTGGAAGTCATTTGTAACAATCAGCTGGGAAAAARTATCTTCACTAGGAAGCCAAAAGAGGAAGCTGAAAGCTGTTCACATAGATTTGAGAAAGCAGCCAGATTTATTATTTATTTGTTTGTTTTTCCTGGAACCAGCTGGACTGATTTTTGTACCGAGAAGATAGGAGACCATCACATAGTACTCTTGCATCCCTCCMCTGCTCATTTAGTACAAGGACATTACTTCCAAGAAATGTTATAGTGGCTTAGCTTCTGTTTTTCACATCTCATTAAATTTTTTAAATTGAGATCTTATTATATCTCTGAAAAAGGACAACTGTAATAACTTCGTGCTTGAGAGGYAAGCTTTTATGAACAGTTGGGGGGGGGGAGGCTCAACAGGACACGAGCCTCAGTTTGATAACAAAAGAAACACCAAATTAGCCTTTCCTCCCAYGAAGCCAAGGCCATTTTGTGGGATCAACCTCTCCATGCCAACGGAAGGTACCAGCAGTTATTCTGCAATGAAGCCAATGCTCTAGGACTCTCCACTAATCCGCCACGGTGAACCGGTGAACCGGTGAACAGAACAAAACACCTAGTGAGCAGCTCGGAACCTTGCGTTCTGGTGGAAATGGAATTCGCACGCTCTGCTTTTGAAACCACATTATCGAATTATTCTGCCTCACTAGTTAAACACTAAATAGTGTGGCTAGGGAAAGCGAACTTAAAAAAAAAAAAATCCCAAGGAGTCCTCTCTATTCTCCCAGCGTCCTCTAGGCAACTTCAGGTATACGTAGCAGAAACTCCAACCCAGTCCTGACAGCTGTTCAGCAGAAATTAGGATTCCGGCTGCCTCTTCCCTTGGGCCTCCACAAACACTTGGGGGAAAGTGGGAGGAGAGACCCCGAGCATTCCAACAACTGATACTCTAAGGGACACCTGGAGAGAGGATGGGAGAAGGGGCATCAGAACTTAGYGCAGTCATGAATGTGTGACCATGTAGGCACCAGAGTCAGTTCGAGGRGAGACCCAGAACTTAATCGCGGATCTCTCGGCCTCTGGGTTCAGGTGCTCGCAGGTGAGCGCAGGAGTCCCGCTCCCCCGACTCACCTTTCTGCCGCAGGTACTGCATCTGGAGCCGCTGGCTCGGCCTCTCCTGCAGCTCCTGCAGCACGCGGGAGTCGCCGGCGCCGCGCACGCCCAGGAACACGTCGGAGCCCGAGGCCTCGGTGGAGCTGTCCAGGCTGTCACGGCGCCGCGGGYGGCCCCCCGGACCGCGGCTCCCGGCGGCCACCTCCTCCTCCTCCGTGCAGCTGTACAGCTCGGTGAGCAGGCCGCTCACCAGGGACGCCGTGCGGCTCGTGCGGCCGCGGGGCTGTTGGCCCGGCTCGGGCTCCGGCTCCTCCTCGCCTTCCCATGAGCCGCGGGAGCCGGGCGGCCGYTCCGCCGTCCCTTGAGGGRGAACAGTCCKGGCCACTCCAGGAACCGCTTCCTCCACCGCGTGCTCTAGCCTCTCCTCGCCGCCACCGCGGAACTCCCGCTCCGGGCGCCCCGTCCGGCCTCYGCTGGCGGGAAGGACCTCCATGGCCCCCGGCGCTCTGAAGCCCCGCGCTAGCCGCCGGTCCCGCCTCGCGGCGCCGGCCAGTTCCGGGAGGAGGTGGACCTCGTCCCCGCCTGGGGTGCCCTGGGCCTGGCGCAGTGCCAGCGGGCTCCGGATTCCCGAGGACCTTCCCTCCCGGGGCCCGCCCCGAATCCGCTGAGCTGGGCTGCTTCGTCTCCGGCGAAGGGGGACCTCCACGCCGCCGGGTTACCTGGGGACACCTGCCACCGGCGAGGCACCACTTCTCCGAGAGCGCTCTCTGATGAGTGCCAAGGAGCAGGATGTGGCCAGAGCCGGAGCAGGATGAAGCCGTCAGTCCGAAGGGGGATGGGCTCTCTGGCCGCTGCCACCTTCACTTTTAAGCACGTGATTTAACTCAAAATGAGGGCAACTCTTGCATCTTATTGAGCTACCAGCTTGATATAATGCCCGGGAGGGTTTTAAGCGCCAGTCAATAGGCCCAGGTCAGAAACAACTTCTTCCCATACGCGGGCACAATGCCCAGCCCTTCTCACCTTCCCTCACCATCTGGGAGCCTTTGAAGGCGTTCTAGTTTAGTTTTTGACAAAAACTTTTCCAAAACTCTGAACACCTGGCATATACTTGGGATTTAATAACGCTGAGAACTTTTTTCTTTCGGTGAAAAACAAAGTACTGATTAACATCAACTAATTCCCTGACACAAGACATAATACAGAATGAGGATTTAATAAATCGTCATGAGATGATCAAACTAATAAGTTGACGGAACCAGTTTTAACAGTAAAATTATGCTTATGAAAGATGTTTTTACACTAGAGCTCAGTAGAAGATAATTGAGGTGCCCCTCCACCTTATTTTTATGAATTTAATAATCATCAACATTTTTARCACTTTTTTGCATTCCAGGCACTGTTATGATTTACATGAATTATCCCACTTAATCCTCACTTCAATACTATAAAGCAGGTAAGCACTACTTTAACCTCACTTTTCAGATGAGGGAACTGAGGGAAAGAGGCTAAATAACTTGCCCATTCACAAAGAATGACAAAGAATGAAGCTTGAAGTGCCTGGCTTTCATTATGGAAGAATATCTGTTAGTATAATGCTGTTTAAATAGTTGGGCATCCTTCTAACAGAGGGAACAACATATAGCATGAACAATAGTGGTGCTTTCTGTGTGTTCAGCACACTTTTTATATTTAAAGGCATTTTCATAAGAGAGGCTGACCCTATAAGTAGAAACCTGGTGTCATCACTTGACATCACCACTACAACAAATACAACCCTTTTTGAAACTGGTCTTGATATAAAGAAAATTGAAGCTTTGTGCCTTTTCCTCTTAGATATCTAGAATTTAAAATTATACTGGAAATATTTTATGGTTTTTGCAACATATTAACTTCTGCTAGCATTTATGAAATGGAGTGTGTGTATTTATTATATTGCTGCTGTTTTGTGTTTGAATTTCTTTATTTTTTCTCTATTGTCCCTGGCATTGAATAAGTATTAAGAGCCCTCTTCATAGGCCAAACTTTGCAACAAGCAGGACTTTCATAGGAGCAAATGCTGAAATTAGATCTCTTTTCATTGACTTCCCAGCCCTTTCTATCTCCTTCCACTAAGAAGAGATGTGTTGTAACTACTGGTCTTTATTATTCTTATTATTATTTAAGGTTTTTCTACCAGGAACTATAAAGGAACTCAAAGTGGGAAGAGAATGAAAAAAAGAGGCTAAGAAAACAGTAGTCATTAACATTCAGATTTCTAAATTGATCAAAACTTCAAAATTATTAACCATTTCCCATCATTTCCAAATTACTAGTAAAGAGGAAATTGGCAAACTAAAAACTAAGAAGGCAAGCAGGGTCAAGGTCACTGTACTTACCCACAGATATCTACATAACTCTTTTCTTACCTGGGTCAGGTGTCTGCTTAAATATCCTCAGGGGGTACCTCCCTGACCACCTAGACTGCAGCTCCCCATCCCTCAGCATTCCCAATTTCCCTTCTTTGTTCTCTTCTTCCACAATACTCATCATGCTCCTTCATACCACATAATTCATGGATTTTTAAATCTGTCTTCTTCCACAAAAATATAGGCTTATGAGAGCAGGAACTTTTGTCAGTTTTGTTTATTGATATATGCCCACCACTTAGAGCAGTCCCTGGCAGGTGATTAATAAATATTTTCTGAATTAATTGAGTGGATAAAATAAAAACTAGAGAAAATACCAGCTAATTACCTACCTTCCAAAGAAAAGCGAGTTCCATTAAAGAGAATCCTGTACAGGTGTGGGCAAAGGGCAGTCCCCTTTCCATGGCACATTATTGCTGCCAGGTGACTGGGAATTCCCCAAATAAGAACTTTGAAGTTCTAAGGCTTACTCTTGGATATAAGGGAACTATTGATATAATAGAACATAACTGTCAAAACTATTAATTCTAAGACTAATAGTTAAAATGCAATGTACTAAGTTAATTATGCTGCTGATAATAATTAGTATTTTGATTTGGAAATTTAGTTTTAATGTTTAATTATTCTAATAAGTTTATATCAGATACAACTGGGATACAAATTCCAATACTGCACTATAAGGAACTAAAAAGCACCTATCCCTGAGTTCAATTTGCTAGAATACAATTTATGAAAATCTCATGTAGAATCTATGTATTATGATCATTTATTTCCAAACCTGTAACAAGGTCTCACCATATCCTTCAGATATCCATTATTTGAAACCACCTTTACAAAACTCTGACCATTTTTACAATTTTTTTAGCATGTAAAAATACCCACATAAAGTCTAATTGCTATGAGGAAAGTTATGATTATTTCTGGGATGGGCAGTTTCTAATACCCAGCAGTTAACCTTTTACTCTAATCTTTCAGGGATTACTCATTCCCTGAGTCAGAAGAAAAATACAAGAGCTTATTGCTGCATTTTGGTTCATCCTCATGGGAACTCAATTTTGCTCTTTAATTTTTTGTTTATAATTAACTTATATGCTTGGAATACAATGCAGTCTGTATTTTCAATTCAGAACTATACATGAGGAATATGCTTATATTTTTCAATCCAAAAGGATGGAATGAGAGGTTTAAAAAAATGGTTTTTAGTACTTTTAAAAGCCATCCATCTGGGCTGGGGATATAGCTTAGTTGGATATAGCTTGCCTTGCATGCACAAGGACTCTGGGTTCAACCCCAGCACCACGTAGACACACAAAAAAATTGGCAAATCTTACTGTATGTTAATTGTACCTCAATAAAACTGACACAAAAATTGTTTTTTTAAAAAAGCATCAAACCTGGGCTGGGGATGTGGCTCAAGCGGTAGCACGCTCGCCTGGCATGCGTGCGGCCCAGGTTTGATCCTCAGCACCACATACAAACAAAGATGTTGTGTCTGCCAAAAACTAAAAAAAAATAAATATTAAAAAAATAAAAAAGCATCAAACCTTACACAGACTTAGTAAAGCATATTGATAAGTAGCAKATAATCAATAAATAAGAGATGTTGACGTTGAATAGTATTTAAATCAGAAAATTTGACACTGATAGGAATTTTGAATATCTAATTTGACTACCACTTTATTTATTATTATTACACTGGATTTTAAAGTGACAGAATATAACCTTTCCTTTACAGTGTGATTGCTCAATGCATAGCAGCTGAAAATTAAATCTCTTGATACCTGTATTAAAGTAACATTTTTTTTGAAGAGGAAGTGATGTGCCTATCATGACAGCACTTGAATAGCCATTGACAATGTCTGTCTAATACTCATTATCCAGGCTATTTTGTCTAAGTTGTTGTTTAGTACCTCTTCCACAGTGAATGCTTTCCATTGGGCATAAACATATGATACGAAGAACCCCACTCTTTGTGCCTATTCCATATGCCTATCCATGTGTCACTACCCCAAACCTCCTTATTTCCATTCTTCTGATCCTTTTCCTTCCAGGATTATGATCAGCCAGCCAAGGCCAAGCACCATTGCCAATGAGCCCATATATAAATTCTAACTTCAGACCATTTCTCCTTCCATACCTACCAGATGATCAGGTACACCACCCAGAGCTCTGCCCATTAGGATGGTTTTCTTACTCCTGTCCTTAAGACCAATGCTGAATAAAGCTGTGATGCAGCCGCCAACCATTTCCACCTCCATTCATATCCCAAGTTCTTCAATCCATAAACTAAGTTTTGTTTTTTTCCTTCCCCTTCATCTGGTCATTCTGGTCCCTGGGGGTGAGGTAAGATAGGAGCACTGGCATAACCATAATGAGTAACACGGGTGTCTGAAGTTCTATGTATTCATGCATTCGTTTGTGTCCTCTGATACTGCAGGGTCCTATATTGTTTCCTTTTAGGAAGGCTTATGGCTGGTCTTGACCAACTCCATGACTTGGTGGATCCAATAGAACCCAACTCATAAGCATTTCAGGAAGTATAGTCATTTGGTATCTCATAGATTAAAGTTCCTAGTACACCAGGAGCTGTTTTTCAAATGATGTGTAATTCCTGCTATAGATTCCATATGCCTATCCATGTGATAGATAGCATGACCTTTCTCTAAAATCTTGCAMTTTTCTCAGGGGTTTTCTCTACCTTGCATCTCTTCCCACTACTGGCACATGCCAGAGTGCATAGCCCAAACAGAAAAGCAATTGCACCACAGCTTAGACTGCTGCCAGGACAGACTTCATGGGCATGTCAACTCTCAAAAGGTCCCAGTGCTCGTCTTAATGTTCTATTGTCACATTCCTAAAATTATTAATAATTTTTATCTTCTAACTTGTGTGTGTGTGTGTTTTAATCAAATAGGATAGGGATATGCATGATCAGAAGAGATAAGCCAAGCCAGCAGACACAGGAGGCAGTGCCATGCACCAAGCAGTTGCCAYAAGCATATTCCTCAGGGCAGTCAGGAGCCAGGAGGGAACCAGCCCCAGGTAATGGTAGAGACAGTAGAGAGCATTGGAGAGGCAGCAGTGC